AAGCGTTCGCTTTGCCGATGCGCAGGTAACAATCAGTCGGGGTCTAATAAGAGAATAATGATCTCCGTGCGAAACTTATTACGACTTGTTAGCCAATCTGAAATCCTCGAAGGCAAAATGTCACCGATAGATAGAAGGACATCCATTATGCCTGAGAGGATTCTCGGAGGACAGCACGGAATTGGATAACATCGTTGAAGGAGGAGAAAAAAAGGAGCGTATTATACCTACCAGTGTTCCTTGAGTCACGGAAAAGAGGACGCCCTTTCGTGATATTACACCGACAAGAGCTGGTGCGACCGATCGCCAACGAAAGTTCATCGCCGTCACATCGATCTTACCGTCGATCCGTCCCGTCTCGAATGGGAAACTGAGGATCTTGATCGGCTAAAGGGGAGACGGAAACAACAGACGCTGGAAGATGCATGTCGATGCAATACGGTGATCTCCGACTTTAAAGATCGAGACAGTCTCTTAATCTTCTCTCGAACTTCCCTGTACGTAGTTGTGTGCCAACAAAACGATACAAACTGTCGCTGTATTGTGAACGAAAAAGTTGCGGCACCTTTTTCCTTTCAATGAGTTTCTTGAAACGTTTCCTTGAAACTCGTGAGATCGCCTTCGCTATTTTTGCGCACGTTCTGCAACTCATTCATAAAAATAAAAAAAAAAGATAACTGTGTGTTGCAATCTTTTTGTATTTTTTCGAATAATCTACCAGTGCGAATTACTTCAGTAATGTTTGGTTTCAAAATAAAGGAAATTACGAACTCTTGAGAATCTCTCTCTCTCTCTCTCTCTCTCTCTCTCTCTCTCTTTCTCATTATACTTGTATATTTTATTTTTAAAAGCGCAAAAGTATTACTTTTATTATATTCTAGCGAGAAATGTGATTGCTTTTTTTGCATGCATATTTACCGGGATTCTAAATAGAGTTATATTCATACAGCGATTCTGGTATATATACATATAAATAATTGCAATTTTAATAGAGAAATGAAAATATAAATAATACATACATTATATATGTATACCTCTTTATCATTAAACATGATATCAAATATGCCAATCTATTTATATGGTATGAAAATTTATATATATATATTTTAAAAGGGCAGAATTTATGTATACATAAATATATATGTATAAAATAAATAGATATAGTATAATATAAGAACAGATACATAAAAAATGCAATAGTACGCAATAATGAATTTTAAATACATAAAATTACAACCGTATATTTTACTTAAATATTTTAAATATATACACATACACACACATATATATATATATATATATATATATATATATATATTACTTGTATATATTTTAAAAGATTACTTAAAATAAATTTCATATAATTATACAAAATTAGTTTTTAATTATTTTTAAAATTTTTATATAATTATAGAAATTATGTCACGATGAAAAATATCTTTCTCTTTTTCTCTTTCCCTTTTATCATTACTTATTGTTAACTGTAAACATATTTCTGTACATATATTTTTAACTACAGAGAAAGTTTTTCCTATGTTGTTATCCTGCCGAAGAAATATAATTGATAATTATAGTCAATTTCAAACATTGTCCTGTATTTCCTATATTATAAATTTCTTGTATAATAATATAACTTTTTTACATCGTATTTTTTCTGTAATGAATAAAACATATTCTTCGTTAATAATAAATTTTATTATTTCTTTTATTATACCATTTTTTTAATTCTTTCTATTTTACTTTAAACATTGTAAAATTTCTGTATACAATATAACATAGATCAGCTAATATAGATTAATTATTTAAATGTCGAAATATTCGTAATTAAAATATTGTGGTCTGATATTTTTCAATTTCATATATTGCACTCGCTGCTACAACAATATATCGCAATCGCCATCTCTCACTTTAGTATTCATTACTTTTACAACTAATAATACTGATAAAATTATATATATATATATATATATATATATATATATATATATATATATTATTTTCTCATTTCGTTTAATCTAACCAAATATAATTACGCGAGTGAAACGACGTTATATTATTCTTTAATAATAGCCTCAAAAATTGCAACGCATGCATAAAAATTATTACTGTAATGCATGCATAAAAATATATGAATTTATATGCAATGCATAAAAATTCATTATTTAAATCTTTAACAGAAAATAGAAAATAGAATTTTCTACAACAAGCTTGCGATCAAAATACTCGTGCTTCCACAAGATGCGCGTATCTGATCTCGCGCAAGACTGACGGCTTGAGATTGACGCTGACCGCAAGACTCTAATAAGCTGTCAGCAACAATGTCGCCATCTGACAGCGAAACCTAAATTTACAGCTAAACATTTCGCTCTTTCTATCTCTGTCATTCCATAGACGTGTGTCACATACGTCTACCACGCTGTACGTCTCCCGAGAGACTGATCCCCACCACCAACCCCAAGACTCTGCGCAGACGTCGTCAACTGACGGCGAAACAGCTAGAATGAAGACGAATACACCCCACACGTCCATCACGCTGCGCATCTGGCGCGAGACTGATTCTCGTTCGAGACATTGCGATTGCGAGACTAATGATCACGTGACTCGCGCGGCGCGAACCGTTCAGTACGATAGACGTACGAAGACGCGCGCGTCTAATGAAAGCGTAGATATTTTGATCACAAGATTTTTATAGAAAATTCTATTTTTTTTTTTGTTAAAGATTTAAATATTGAATTTTTATGCATTGCATAATTTTTTGTTTACAGTTTCTGTTAAAGATTTAAATATTAAATTTTTATGCATTGCATAATTTTTTATTTGTATTTTCTGTTAAAGATTTAAATATTAAATTTGTATGCGTTGTATAATTAATATATATTTTATGCATTGATTGCAATAATAATTTTTATGTGATTAGATTTAAAAAAATAAAAAATATATATACATATAAAATATTTATATTTATATATCTGCTGTTATTATATATAAAAAACATATAATAAATATATCGATAAAAAGAATAAATAAAAAATTAAACCACCCCAGAGATATATATACATATAAAATATATATATTATTTATCTGCTGTTATTATATATAAAAATATAATAAATATATCGATAAAAATAATGAATGAAAAATTAAACCACCGGGCAAGCGAGAATTGAAAAACGAAGGCAATACACGTTGCTCAACATGTCGATGTTCGTACTTTCTAAAAATGTTTCTATTTCTCTGCGTGTGGGACAACATAACATTACGTCGTCAAAGCCTCAATCCTGCCGCGGGATCGTGGATCCTTATCGATGTCTTTCCAGGCTTCTCTACCATAGGACACCGTCGGCGACGTCGAACAATAGAAAAGACAAGGGGGCCACGTAACGTCGAGGCGCGAGAGAACGCGTCCTTCCGGCATTTTAATATTCCTTTCGATGTGTTACACGTGTGTTTCCGCGTGCCTATGCGCGGGACAATGCAACACCTCTCTCGCTGAGAGACACACTAGTGGGACGAGAAGAAAAGAGTGTGGCAATTAAGCGACACACGTTCCCACGCCCCCGGGACATTGGCCCGTGCACACGAGGCGAAAATGATATCTTAACTTATCAACGCGTACATCCACCTTTATCTCTACTCTATTTTTTTTGTACGTTTTTGTACATCGCACAATAATCCCCATTGCTCGAATATCGCTTAATCGAACGTTCGATTATCCGTATAGTGTGAAAAAATATATCAGTTTGAATGGTAATAAATATATTTAGGCGTTTATTATATTATATAACAATATTAAATAAATTGTAAATTAACTTAAATTCATTAATTTAAGTCGCAAATTTCAGAAACCTGAACATTCGCGACAGAATCGGGAATACAATTGTATTGATCATTTCATATACTACCTATTGCGATACATTTTATTAGTACCATTAATATAAAGATTATGTATAATCTCGAAATGTTTTTATTATTATAATTGAATTTGATAACGAAATATAGATCGTCAAGGGGAGGTTTACATAATAAAGCAGAAAGATAGTAATATCATTAAAATAACTGTTAAGAAAAATATGTAAAATAGCAGTCCAAAAAAATAAATATAAAAAACATAATAGACATTAAATAATTCTGTCAAATTATTGTTATAATGTTTTATGTTATAGAATAATTTTTTATAGAATATATTACGTAATAAATATACTTTCTCTTTTTATATATTTTAAGACATTCAATGTTTTTCGATTAATAGAATTTCTATTTTACTTTATAGTTAAAAATATATAAAGTAACTAAAATAAAATTAAAGTCTCCACAACACTACCCAAGTGTTAATAACCGATTGAAACTTGGTATACATATTCTATATCAAAAAACATTTGACACGTATTTTTTTATATCAGCTAAAAAAGCTTTTTAGGGGTAAGAACAACCCTTGCAATATATACATTACGGGAGGGTAAATTAGAGTATATTAACACTTGGGTAATGTTACTTGTGAGATTTCTTAACTTTCTGTAACGCAATTACAAAATCCGATTAGTCGAATATATATACATATATTTTGACGTTCTCGATCTTTTTTTTTTAAATGGTTCGTCCAGATTTTTTTTAATCTTTTGGATAATATAAAATAATTATTTTAAGATCCTCGTAATTAGATCGTAAAATAATTTGCGGCAATGATTTACGTATATCTCTTATAACAGTTACTCTATCAGAATATTGTTTGCGATGTTGATTATTGTTTGCAATTGTTCTCAAAAATCTGCATATATACCTGTAACGATATACTGTTTGCCAACGATATCATATTCAACAGAATTATCTATTCACGATCGATTGTTATTTGCTATACGTAACAAACCATATATACGTCAGTTATTGATAAAGTGAAAACTGATAAATAATATATCACGTTTTCAATATTTTAAAGCATATATTATCTTTTGTTCCAGTATATATACTTATATATTTCAAACGTGAGAAAAATAACAATTAAATTGCTTATAGCACGAATGACATAGATGCATTAATCGTGTATTTCGGATACACAGTGATGTGATCAGCACAAAAGCTGAATCATTATCGCGTACAATTAACATATATATTGATACACAAATAATGATTTCTGAATAAATGATCCCGTTAAAAATGACATCGCCTGATTATATTTTTTACAATATTTAGATTACTCGAACAAAGCGTTTGTTCGCGCAATATTATAATAAAATGATGCGACTAATAAGCATCTAAAGTTTCTTCATTCCAAGATGTCCGTAATGCGGTGTCGTCGACAACAATAATTATAGGACGATATGCGCGTTGAAATAATGAAATAATGCCGCAGCGATGTGAAATAGATGGGCGTTACGAATAAATTTCGGTACATTCAACGGCAAAATTGTGAATTGTGTTGTTGTGAGAAAGATGTCGTTTGCACAAATCACCGTTTATGGAACATCGTTACTCAATCATCGTTACGGAACATCCTTAAGAAATAGTTTTAAGCAACGTGGAATCAATGTAAATTATACCTCTTCATGTTCATGTGCCTTCGCGTTAAAGAAAAATTTCCGAATCAAAAATATAATCTTTATTTGTATAAAATATATTATTACAAACTATCTAATCCAAAAATATTTAACGTATCTTTGTGCAATAAAATAAAAAGTTATACAAATTATTTAATGTTAAAAATACATATTTGCTATGTTGGAATATTCTGATGTAGAATGGTTTGTAATTATATATATGATATTGATCGAGATAAAGTCAAATATACGTTTCAATCTATTTTGCACATTTACAAAAAAAAAATCGAAAGTTCAAAACACACATTCGTATAAGATATAATCCGGGTTGAAGGACATTATAAAAATAGCTACATTCGGGTGTTACTATACAGGTGCACGTAACTCAATTCCTTCTCGTGTATATATACAATCTTATCTAGAATATGCAATCTTCTATACATATAACACGAGAAAGAAAATCAAGCCATATAATTATTCTCTCTTTTTTCTTTCGCGCTCTACAATATGTATGTATGTACATAAAACGTTTACGCTTATTCATTATAACATCGTTACAGCTGTTACGCGAGCAATCTTCTATTTCGTACCTACTTTGTCCAGAATACGTATCTACTATGTCGTAATGGGAATCGGTTCGAGGTCGTCGTTAATAATGCCCAAGCTATATCTTCTGTAATAGTGGGACGCAACGCATTTCACCCGATCGAATTTCTTCTGACTCAAGTTATTTATTACACTCGGTTCGGTACTGTACAGTGGATTATCCGGGCCGAATTCGATCGATCCGTATTGCATCACTTCCTCCTCTTCCGCCAATATCGGGTTCACCAGAAAGCAGCCGACGAGGCTTCCGTAAAACGCGGCAGCTCGGAGTTCTGACTCCAGCCATTCCCTGTTCAGTTCCGCCAAAATCTTCTCGTCCACGTGCAATCGACGAAGATCCTTGAGAAGCTCGTTGTGATAGATATTAATGAGACTCTCGTAGCTATTCTCGATCAATGATGAATGCGCGCTGGTGTAAATCAGGTAATGAATGTCGGTGGTCACCGATGTATGTCTGGATATCTGGTAGTCCACCATTTTTAAATCGAGTATCTTGCCGTCGTCGTCGTGTAAAAACAATAGATTATTGATCCACGGATCGCCGTGGCAAATTGTGTGATATTTCTGCTTCGGCGCGTTAAACATGCGATACATGGTGTCGTAAGTTTTGTCGATGTAACCGGAAATGTGATCTATGACAGCTTGTAGCTCTTGAGTTCGCGGTTCTATTGTTTCTAAAATTTTCACTGTCGACTTTATACACATCTCGGTACATATTCTCATCTGCGACATCTCGGAAAGACTAATGTAAATCACCTCTTCTACAGACTCGGTTAATTCGTCGAACAGCCGTGGATCATTGATCTTCACCGCTAGAGCCGATGCGTGTAATTTGGCAAGTTTCTAGAGAGAGAAATAAAAAAAAAAATATATATATATATATATAAATACTTGTACAATTATCGTATTATTGATAGATTTTTCGAGAAATAAAATCCATTCTTTACTTTGATGAAAATTAAAAATTAAACATTTTTTACAGTTATGAGTAATAATCACAATTAAATAAAATAATTTACAATAATAAAGATACATAATATGTATATGTATACAATATGTAATAGTAATACCGATATAGTGTTTAGTATATGTATAATAATATAGTGTGTATAATATAATAATAATAATAATAACGTATTTTTTAATTAATTTTTAAGCTAAAATTAGAATCAAAATGTTAATTTGCATCTTAATTTTCAACAGTTAAAATATATGCAAAAAATGTTCAATTAAATTTTTATTAAAAAAATGTTAAAACCTTATATTAATTAAAGAATGTATAAATTTATCAATATTATTGAAGCTTGGTTATTCGTAAGAATACAAAGAGCAAGGTTAGCATCGACAGCCTTTATCTTGATAAGTATTCAACTTACGGTCATTTAAATGTACAAGAGCCTGACAACTGTATATCATTAATCATCTTAACATGCGATACTAGACAATCTTTGAAAATCAATTTATTGGCCGGACAATATTAATCGATAATTATTGCTTGACTGTCAGACGATTATGTCGATACAATTAAGAAAAATATATAGTTCTCTCTGATTCTCACACGTTATATACATATTACTATTATCTCGTTTCTTATAGAGTTCTTACTTGCAATATTTAGTAAAGTAATCCTTCAATTTATAAACGTTGCACAGAAAATAATTTATGAATCTGCTAAGGATGCAAATCCTATTTGAGATACAATTCTAACTCGATCTAATCCTCTTATCTCCTATGCGAATCGTGACACAAGATAAGCATTTATTACAGAATTATTAATAGAAAACGCATACCTTTAAAGCGTAGACTGTGTGATCCAAGTCTAGAAAGTTGCGCCTCTCGCAAATGACGTATCCTTTCTCAGCTAAATCTTCCATTATTATATTCTCTTTGTCGGTGTAAATACATCGAGGACCAAAAGAACCGAGAACCGGCAATATTTTTTTATAAAGGTGTGACTCCATACGGAATAGACCGTAAAGATCCACTAATTTAGAGATTGCGCACCCTTTGACGATACTTTTCGTTATCAGATTCTTGATATATGCTGTGCACAAATATGAAAAAGGATTCAAGAAAACGTATCTACAGAATACGCATATCTATGTATATCGCATTTATACGTAACTATTTTTCACACAAGTATAACAGCGATGTTATTTTAATTGAAGAAATATGTCAAAAATTAATATAAAAATTACCCTATAAAAAGTCAACAACTAAATATTACACTTTTAATATAATATTTATAATTTAATGTGATATTTGCAATCATATACACACAAAGTGTATCATTAAAAAATTACCCTTTAAAATAATGTATTACTTAAAACAGGAGAATATGAAGATTCTACTATTATTATACACGATAACTATATTTAAATATTGCGTATGTATCTTGAATCAAAATGTACTGTAATAGTAAGATAACCTTTCTTCGGGACACCTACAGGATGAGAAGTTATGCAACTGACAATTATTCCGTTTCGGTAAACCGAACATCATCATTGGTTTTACCAAACAATTTTCATTTGGCCTTCGTATTTAACATTAAAGCATAATAACAACGATATACTAACGAGTTCCGTCTCCGCGTGTACCAATGAGCTTTGTTTTGATCAGCAACGACGTATAATTGTCGCCGGGTTTTGAACCCGGTTTGTCCACTGCTTTCAGGATCACCAATTTGTCATCGTTCTCGTATTTTCTCATATAAGCTTGGAATTGCTTTGCCTTGTCTGAAAATTAAGCATGACAAATTGATGATTTAATGCGGCTACGAAATATGACAAGAACGAGTACGTGTTAAAGTGAATACATGACATATACACACACACACATATATATATATATATATATATATATATGTATATATAGATATAGATAGTCTTCTCGCGATCTATCTCACTGACATTATTATTTCATGGTCGCGACCGCGATAGATAAATTGACTTGACCCTATCTGTGACATGTGCATACGAAGTAGACGAAAGAAACTACAACCGTGTGTGTATAAACGTTAACATCTTTATTAAGTACGAGAGAATGGCACAAAATTGATAACTATGCATATTTCTGTCATATATAAAATAAAATAAATTATTGATAAATAAGAAAAAGCAAAACGCATACTTTGTCATTTAACTTGTCATCTTAATATTTAATATTTTATTATTTTTATATTGTATATTAATTGTCAATATTGCACTAATTAATAATTTTCAATTAATTTTTAAATGTATTTAGAATAATAATAAAATAATAAATTAAATAATAATTAAATTTTAAAATAATATTTGATTTCATTTAACTAGCGATTTAATCATAACAATATTTAATATTGAAAACTTTAAAATATATTTTTTGACAAACTATGGCGAAATTAATTCTACGAAAAATGTGAGCTATGAATTCGTCAAAAGTTGCTCGACGGGAAGCGTCCTTGATTCAAGGATATGTTCTGTGCAACTGTTTGCGAAAGACAGGTGCAAATTTACTCTCGCTCCGGATGTGAACAATTCTATATTCTTGATAATTACTACATTTTAAAAATCGCAAAAAGATATATTTAAAATTATACCACGTATCGCGCAAGTAAATAAAATTAATTCTAACGTAATGGACTGGCTAGCTTGTTTATAATAAATTATAAATCGTAAACATACATGCAAGAAACTATCAAATAATGCGCATGTTAAGATCAACTCTATTAAAAACTGCTATTAAGGTTACATTCACATCTTACATCTTCGCGGCATTAAAATAATGTTTTTCTGAATAAAGATATGAAAAGAATATAAACATAAATGCTTAATTAAAAAGTTATAATTAAAATAATATATAAAATATATATAAAATATAAAATGAAGAAAATTCTACAACATACAGATTTATTCATCTGACAATTTGTATGATACGACATAAGAATAAATAAATGATATTTATCATTAATCTATCTGTTGTTATGCCTAATACTTAAAATTGCTGAAAATGATAAATATTTAACTGTCACTAATCGCTGATTATTACACTTCTTGTTTTTGCCAATATAAATATAACGACTTTCATGTCACTTTCAGTGGTCTCAAATTAATACAATTTGCAAAAACATTCAATATAACACTGTCACAACATTAAATATAACACTGTCACAACATTCAACATTATCGACCTTCTATTATGCTGTATCGTATTAACAATCTAAAAATAAATATTGTTTTTTACATTTGATACTCTCGTCATAATTGTTTAATCAAACATTTATAGGACTTATAATATTTATATAACATTATTTTTAAATACTGGCATAACTTGGCCGAAAATTTTATCTTGACATCTTATTTAAAAAATGTTCTATTCTTTATTAGCAATCTAATATTTTTTTAACAATACTAATTTTTGTAACAACGTAGAAAGAAATAAATAAATATCAGCCAGGGTAAATATACTAATTTCGCGATATCGCGCAAAGATATGATCTTGAAGATCTTATCAGATAAAGAACTGTACAACGAATTTTCTAATTCCTTCGAGACTTTTTCAGATCCTTACATACATGCAATTTAATGTACCTTAATTTTTTTCGTTTAGTCGATAAAAAAATGCTCCCAACGAAACATAGTAACGTTGCCTGATATATATTCGAATATCGCTGACTTAAAAAAAATTTTCTGCAAACGTCTTCATTTGGGCAAACTTTTATTTGCCGTGAACGCTTTTTAGTTATGCGAACACCGTAGTAAAAAAATTTTATTTTATTTGCCTGATACAAAGATTTTAAGTGGCTGTTTTACACGATACTATAAAACGATATTACGTAACACAAAAATCATGTTTGTGATACATGACAGATCTTATCTATAGATATACTATGTTGCTTTATCTGCAAATCTGCAAAAGTCGTAAGAATCTGTTAAGCTGCAAATCGTAGAAATAATAGAATTATATGATTTATTTAACTATATATAAATCGATGTTTATAAATGCTCGAAATGTACTTTATAGACTTTTAAAACATTTAATGCCTAATGGCTGCAATTAAGATTCGTTATTTTAAATTGTCAAAAATAATAAATAAAAAAACAGACATTTTACGAGTTGTTATATATATTATTGCTTAAATTAAATTGATAGATAAATAATCTAGTCGCACTATAGATAACAGATATAGTAAAATAAATATAAGAACTATCGATTTATATGAAAAAAGACTATAAATAAATATGAAAAAAGATTTTAACAAAATGGCACAGCAACACTTCAATAATAAAAATTTGTAATCAATTATTACAGAATTATGATTAATTATTATAATAATCACGAATTTTTATTTAAATATTTAAAGTAATTTAAAATTTAATTTAAAATTTGAACACTTATTAAAGTTTAAAATTTTAAAATATGTCATACAATTATTAAAGCTGATTATAATGACTGCGAACTATACGCTTTTTTTAAACCTATTAAATAAATAAAGCTAATAAATAAAGATAAATTGATAACATTATTTTCAAATTATATATATATATAAAATCGTATTATTATATTATGAGATAAAAATGATCTCTAAGCAAATATACATTGCTTTCATACTTTATTTCAGAATTAAATAAACATGTAAAAAGAACTAATACACAACATAAATAAAGCAACGGAACGTATTTATTTGACGGAATAAATATATAGCAATGATTTAAAAAATAATAATATTTTTATTATCTTCCTCGATAGTGGATCCTTCCATTAAAATAAAGAATGTATGATTTGACACGGCAAGAATCGGAGATTCTTACGTACCTTCGGCGGAACAGCTAACCGAAGTGTTCTCCATCGTTGTGTATCACTTTACTGATCACGGTCGTTTGGACGTCTTCGTTATTTGTACGGCTCGTGAACGCGCGCGCTTGCACGACATACGTTCATTACAGAAGAACGAATCGTCGCGCAGTGCGCGACGCCCCTCTGCACGTGTCGTTTTACTCCGAACGTGTGAAAGTGACGTAATATTACATACGTTGGTTACACATGATTATGCAACCAATCGAGTACGAACTCGGTTCATCCTTTGCAGGAAGTGGCGACATTGAAGCTCGCGATAAAGTGTTTCTTTCTATGTAGTTTCTCTCGCTCTCTCTATCTCTTCTTCTTCTTCTCTTCTTCTTCTTCTTCTTCTCTATCTCTCGCTAACGACTTATCGTTGAGATTAAATTGACAAGTAAGATACAGCGAAGCAAAAACTTTGCAAGGAGAAAAATATGTCATTTTTTTGTACCGAAGTCATTTAGATGATTCGCTATCGAATTCGATATCTTGAGAGAGAAAACGTGTACTGTAATTTTATCTTATCAATAACGCTCTTAAAAAATCAATACTTTAATCAAATCGAAATTGAGAAAAATATGCATATACTGATATAACAATAACAGAATAATGCCAATTAAACTAAATACCAATTATCCTTAATTGAAAATCCGCCTGTGATTAATAATCGAATATATAAAATAAATGCATACTTTTAATTTATTTTTAAAATAATAGTATATTAATTTACCTATATCTTTTATATTCTTTAATGCTTTATATTTCTTTTAATTTGTGAAAGTTTATATATATATATATATATATATATATATATATATATATATATATAGACAGGAAATGTATACAGATATATTTCCGGCTTCCTGTTCATTCATACTAATCAGTATTGTAACTATTTGAAAGATTAAATAGCTGTAGTGATAAAGTCAGATAGCTGTATCTATAATCGATATGTAAACGATTTGTAAATACTTCTTTTGTTTCTAAGAATAAAAATATAATATGGTGCAATCTACAACACTTCTATACTTACCTTTGTGACTTTATGTTTGCCTTCTTGTGTAATTCCTTATTTGTAGAGATAAATAAATAAAAGTATAAATTTAATAATAATAATAATAATAAAGAATTAGAATATTCTGAAAAATGGTATAAGAGATTACTAATAAGTCGACATTTTTAATAATACCCATGTGTTCACATACAGGACAACCTTTATTATCTTAATGCTGTACTATAGTCACAATATAATACTACAAATTATTACAATATTAATAATATTATCATAATCATAATAGGTCATAATTTTTAATATATATGTATATTTTTATATGTATATTTATATGTGTATTTGTGTAATATATTAATATACTTATCTATACCTTGTGTTGTTACATAATACATGATTCCTCTCTTTTACCTTATCACTTAGCATATATAGATATAATGTATATAGATATAGATATTTATATATGTATACATATATATATATATATATATATACATATATACACATACACATATATATGTATACATATATATGTCATCAGGATGGTATAAATAATATTGTATTTCATAAAAGCACTTCTTGTTGCTTATAATATTATCGTTTTCATATTGTTTCTCTACCTCTGTTAATGCCACTCTTTCTCAAGTCATTTCGCTCCCTCTCTTTCTCTCCCATTCATACTTTCTCCCTTTCATTTTCTTACTTAGCCTCTAGCTGTCATACACATCACATACTCACTCCTCTTTCTTTTTTTTTTCTATTTTTCTTTTTATTCTTTTTCTCGTTTTCACCCACTCGCTCTTCCTCTCCAGGACGTCTAAAAAAAGTTTTTACTGCCTATGAACTCTGCACTTATACTATCATTCGAGTATTATTTGAGAACATTACAAGTCCCACTGTACTTAACCGATGGCCAACGTTTCTTTATTTTCGTACACTTAATTTTCCTCTGTTTCTTAAGTTTCTTAGTTTCGGTTTTGCATTTTATTTTTATTTTTTATTTTTTTTTTTTTTGTTTTCTTGCAATTTATAAATTATGAAATTCGCCGCGGTTTTACGATATTAATGTTCCTGCTGCCTGGTCCACTAACATTCCTAGAAAAAATACTCTTCGCTCCGACGTTTTATTAACTATACTCGAGAACGTACTATTTAAGAACGGATACTCTAAACCCTTCGAGTGCTCTCTTTTCCGTTCTCTCTCTCCCTTTCTCTCTTTCCCTTTTTCTCTCACGCACCCTTTTTTCGCGCACAGAGATATTTTTTTCCGCGTTTTTCCGCCACTTGAAAACAATTTGGAGAAAAGGCATGCACGAGCAAAGGATTGAAAAGGTGCGAAATTCTCGAATTCTTTGTCGCTCTCGAATCCAGAGCTGGGAAAAATATTATAAAAATATATTTCAGATATGAAATTTATATAAAAAAATATCGTTGGAAAATTTTTCGAAAAGTACATTTTTTCAATAGCAAGATACGTGGAAATATGTTATTTTTCGAGACATAAAAGTCGTGTACTTTTACAAAATTGTTTTCTTAAAGGAATATAAAATTGAAAAAGTAATCTATTTTACTTGAAATATATTGAAATATGTATTCGCCCAGTTCTGGAATCGGGCTAATCGACATTGTAATCCCTTTGGTTCGATATTGCATTCTAAAAAAAAAAATGAATTTTCACACGAGAGCACTCGCCGACTTCGCATACGTCAGTACGTATCTATATGAATTACCTCGTTAAGTGTTTGGTTTTTTTTCGGATGTAGTGACTAGATTACAACAACAATACAAAATATTATTCGCCCAATACCGACGTCCAAAGTGCGAAGGATTAAGTCTATACCCTCTAAACTGTCGCGATGCGCACGGAGGACTTTATACGCGGACATGTACATATTAGTTTCATCGTTCGAGAAATGTGTGGGCGAGATACGAAGAGAAAGAAGAGGGGAAAAAAGTGTGTCACAAAAACGAAAGAAGAATCGCGGGCTATGAAACTTTCGAGAGGACGAAAATGTAACTTTCGTCGCAAGTTCCGGCTTGCTGATGTATCTGAAGAAATAGTAGAGAGAGAGTAGGCGTTACAAACTCTTCTCTGGTCGATCCTCGACGTTAAAAGAAACCAGTACGAAGTAGAGAATCGAACCTCGATCATTCCCATCTCTCCATCTCTGTATTTTTATCCGACTCGCGATCGCTTTCTCATACATAAGACTCACACGACCGCCGCTTGCACGTTTATAGCCATAATCGTCGATCGGAGTCATTTCCATTGATATGTCGTGGGGAAAACTCGGCGGATACAAGACATACATATATATATATATATATATATATATATATATACATATATACATATACATATATACATATATATACATATACACATATATACATATATATATACATATATACATATATACATATATACATATATACATATATACATATATACATATATACATATATACATATATACATATATACATATATACATATATACATATATACATATATACATATATACATATATACATATATACATATATACATATATATATATATATATATATATGCGGCTGAAAGACACGGATTGGAACGTGTGAACCAAATTTGTTTAATCGATCAAAATCCCTAACAGCACAACATATCCAAAAGATATTCAGAGGACATTCAAAGAACATCTTCGGGACATATGCAATTTTCTATTAGGGATCTCGCCTAAAAAAAGCCCGCGAAATAAACATAATGACTGAACATCGTATTGTTAAGAGCTCGTAACGAGATACAAAAAGTATCTGTCGTAAAAGCGTTATTTCGCTAATAGCGCGCAATCTTTTCCGAGGAGGAGCGCGAGCTTCCCTTTGGAAGAAAGTACATTCGTTTTAATAGGCCTCTTTAATAAGCGCTTCACTTTTTAAAGTCCCTTCCGCCCGCGAAAGCTTTCGTGTCGCTTCCTCGACTCGAAGGAAATTGCGGCACTTTGAGAGAAATAACGCTTCCGTATAATGCGCCCCGAGTGGATGCGCCAAGATGCGCTTCTCCTCGCGAAACAGGTCGAAAAGTGGAAAATAATGTTTGTCACGCGAGCTTTCTCGTCCCGGAATCGGAGTCCCGGCTTTTCGTGAGCAAACGAATTCATCCTCGCCTTTACCCGCCGATCGAACTTGGAATTTTTGAACACCCTGTATACAATCGAGAACCGCTATTATGGATCGGTATATTATAGCCGCGATTTACGGTACAATCGAGCGACGGTCGGTGGACTGATAACAGTTCCTAATCTATATAATCAATCTCTCTTTTCTTGATAAATGATGATTGCACGAAATTATCAATTGTTTCCTCGAACTCGTTGATGCGTCGAGGTGATAATTGCGCTTGTAGTCGACTTTATTCGAACGAGAAGCTTGATTAAATCACGGAAAAACATAAAAATTGCTATCGATCTGCTCATAATCTCCCTTTTATCTGTGCGATAATATATATGTTTGCGCTTTTACATAGAGATATTTTTTAACGTCGATTACTTCCTACTTTAATTTAAATATTCGTTTAATATCGATTTATATGATTCATTATAATTGATATATGATATATATATAATATATATATAATATACGTATAATGAAATGTGAACTACAATTGATTTTACTTCTTACTTCTTACAGGTACTTACTTTCTTACTTATTAAACGAGATAACGTTAATTATGAACAGATCAAGCTCTTCAACCGAATCGTGACATCTTCGTGTAAAATCATTATCTCGTCAATTAATAAATTCCAAAGAGTTATGCTTACGTGACAGTGTTTTTCGCTTTGTCATTCAATTGAACAAACAATCGGCAGAATTATTTCAACATCCGTATGCAAATTATCAAGAGAGAGAATCGATATATATATATATATAACAAAATTAATATCGTAGAGAACAAAGTACGCGATCTGTTCGATATGTGCTAATGTAATAATATACATATATTCGAAGTAATATATGTAAGACGAGAGAAATAACTTTGTTCCGATTTTTCGCAATATTATATTCGATGAATAATCACAGTGAATGCGCAAGGATGTACGAGGAGACCTTTCGGGGTTCTTGGAGTAAAAACTTTCAAGAGAGAAAAAGATAAAGAAAATATGTTAAATATATATATTTGACCTTATAAAAAATTATTATAGACTTTAATCAGTATTTCCCTTCTTTATATAATAAGTTATTTCTATTATAAACTTTAATAT